TTTTTTAACGATGAAGAAGTTGTATACTGGCTTGATTTTGTTTTCCCATGGGCCATATAAATATATTTGGGGGAGGAATAACATGTTGAACTATTTGATATCTATGTTTTGTTTGATTTGTGTACATTTATGAGAAATTTTGAACATTTTTTGTACCAATTAATGCAAGAACACTCATCATGTAGCATAATTGACTGAAGTGTTGAGATATTGAAGGGATGGAAGTGAAGCTAATAAGATAAAAATGTTTGTTGTAGTTTCACACTGTGATCGTAGTGATTTCCCTCATATGGAATAACTCTATGGTTATTGTGCAGTCGCGTGAAGACTGAATATTGTTTCTTCTGCAGATCCTTCCAACAATATATCAGGGGAAAGAAATTAACTCCTCGTTGTATGTGAACTTGAAATACTTAAGGGTGTTCTTAGGGAGTGCCTCAAGTGGTATTCCGATTGTTTCATATGTAGGAATTCCTTTAGAGCAACCTCATTGAATTCCTTTTTTTCCCGCTTTCATCATTTTTGGGGGTGAAAATGCTTACTTTTTGATGCTAACTCTTAAGTTAATTTGTAATGCTTATGTACAAGAGGGAACGACCTGAAACAAGCAAGACCGGTACCTGTCAATATTGAAGAACAAAGTCTGCCATCCAAAATTTTCAGTTTGGAAATCGGTTTTTCATTACCTGTCAGTAATGAGAACATCTCCTTTTACTTTAAGAAACATCCTATATAAAAATCAATAGAGAGCAGGTTAAGGCACACGTCCTTGTTTTCGTTCAACAATTGTACAGATAACTGGGTTCAGGATATATGTTAGAATTCACGTAAGGTTGTTTTTATGCTGTCCTATCTGTGCACAATACACATTTTTATGTCTCTGTGGATTTAATGCTCATTTGTTTGATTATCTTATGCATATAGTGTTTTTATATGACTAAAGGTATTATTTGGTTTTACCTCCTTGGGCTCTATTTAGTTCCTTTTTTTCCTTAATTGACAGATAGAATACTCAGCAAAATGTTGCAGGGGCTTTTGGGAAAGTCCTTGAATGTTTGGCCAATGAAAAGAAAGAGATTATTGCAATTATATGAAAGTACGGGAAGTTGCCATGATTGAGATTAGTGTTTTAGAGAAGCTTACAAGGCATGACGCTTGTGGGACACGGTAGGTCTCTGCTTTCAGTTTGGCTTAATTTGTAAGCTAGAAGAAAAACTTGAAGTTGTTTTGGTATAAGTGGTTTCATTCTTTGCAGTTGTGTGCAAATACCGAACTGGTTTGACTATCGTAATCATATTTGTATCATAAGTATTTAATATAATTCATGGTTTCCTTAAATTTTTAAGGGCTTTGGTGTTACCTCTTGCTCAATTATTGTGCAAGCTAAAAAGTTGCGGACTGATTTAAATGGTCTTTACAGGTTTTTGAGAAGCTTGGTCCAAGCTTATACGATTTTTTACACAAAAACAGCTATCTTTCATTTCCCATTGATCTTGTTCGGGAGTTTGACAGACAATTTTTCGAATCTGTGGCATGTGTGTGGACATATCTTTGCACATCTATATTGCTTTTATCAATTCTTGGATTTATTAAAAATGATATATATTAGGCATCAGTTGGCGTTTAGGACGGTTTTTAATACTTACCTTGTAATTCACAGACTGTAATCTGTTTGTTTCACTTATTATTGTTGCTTTTATTTGCAGTTATGCATGATCTGCATCTGATTCACACTGATCTGAAACCAGAAAATATTCTTCTTGTTTTCACAGACTATATTAAAGTGTTAGATTATAAGGTGTTCCCATCTAGCACATTTCTCTTATTTATCATTTTTTTACATGATTTTACTCAGTCCACATAGAGTAATTCCTTTTTTTCTCATGATTGGGTTATGTGTATCTGATGGCTTGAAGTTAGGATTCATGCTAGGCTTAGGTTGACTTTTTTTTTT